GAGAAAAGGGAGGTGGGAATTTGGAGACATCCCTCTACAGTATTTCTCAAAGGCAAGCTTTGATATGTTCCTCTACGTTCATCATGCTGAACCTTTTAAATCCTGCTTCGAGACTCCTGTTTCTCTCTACTTAATGGCTAAGAATCTCAGGCTATTACTCATGTTTATGAATTCCAGCCATGGAGATTTGTCCTAAAATTTTTAGTACTGCGGTAGTGATGAAATTTGATCTTAACTCATTCGATGACTCAAAACCATGCAAACTGAGGTAGCTGAGTTGGTATTTTACATCTTTTAATGATGGTTGTTAAGGTCTGCAGTAAGCTAGTTTATTTTTTGTTTCTTTACAGACACACTATGCATTACTCGTCAACAAAGCTGGATATGACTTCTTAGCTATTTCATTGAGGGACTGTTTTCAACGAAAGACTGACTGATCTGTAATGAATCTAACAGGAAAAAAAAATAGAGAAAGAAGTAGCTTACATTAAATTCTGGGAATCTTACAGCCATCTCATTAGTTCTAGTAAAAATAAATAAATCACTAGAGATGCTAAGGTCAGTTGAGCTACATGCAAGTGTTGAAGCAGAAACCATTTCTTACAATTTCAATAATATTTAGTATATGACTTTTTCACATGGATTTATGGCTGCATTTATTTAATAGATCGTTTTTAATATCTCATTCTGTATATTTCAATCTTTATAACTGCATGTTGCTGAAATATATAAATGTTTTTGTAATTTATTTAGAATTATCCCATCTGTTAAACTCACTAAACATGGTGTGAACAAAGCTAGGTTGTATATAACTGAAAGAAGAATTCCAGGTGATCTAATTACATCAAAAGGAAAAAATTCTGATGTAAATTTGAAATGGCTTTTCAGGCTCCTCTGCAGTTGTTTATGTTATATCTTTGTAACTATTCTTTCCACACACTATACCTTGCTTTCGTTTCAAGGGAATACGGATAGTCAAGCTGTGTCACACAGTAGGAATGGTGGAAAGCAAAACATGCTTGAGTGTTCTTCCTTACCATCTATGTGTATAGATCCCAACTTCCTGTTGTTATAGTATCATATGGAAAAAATGCAGAGGGAATTTCTAACACTCTAGATAAAAGGTACCAGTTGCAATGTTGTTTTTTTTTTTTTTTTTTAAATGTGCTGGTTCTTCTTAAGTACATCAACTAGGAAAGCTGTTAGTCTCTAAATTGATGCTGACAGCTGCTACGTTCTTTGTTGTGGGTTTAGAATGTCATGAAAATATATGACATTTAATATGCATACTTAATATACAAGCTTAATATACACATGTAGTATTTCTCTTACTCCTACTTACTCATCATTTACTTATTAATGGGGTTTTGTTGCTATTTTAATTACACCATATACAGATAAAATAGATTTGTTCTTCTTACTTATTTGAGCATGAATTTGCTTTTCTCTCCTAATTTATGAATGTGAACAGTGTTTCCACTGTTTTCCTTGTCTTCAGAATTTTCCTGCTGTGAACAAGTGGGAAGACTACAGATGCAGTCCTGAAACTGCTGTTTGACTTTTGACTGGAATTAGTTGCTTTTTATTTTTAACTTACTTTCTTTTACCAACAAGCAAGAGGAACTCTGCCCTGAATTGTCATCTTTCTAAGGGAGGGAAATTACATCCTGGTAGTTACTCAGAGTTTATTTTAAACATTCAATCCTAACAATCTGAATCTGAGAATATTAAAAAATTAATTAAGTCTAAGTAGTAAGGTATCTGCTGCTGCCTGGGAGCTAGCACCAGTTGGCCTAGTCCTATGCAGACTTTTTACCTCAAGCCAGGGTAGTTTGGACCCATATGGCTTCAACTGAAACTCAGAAAGAGAAGAACCGACTGCTTCAGGACTGATTTTGTTTTTTGATTGACACTTGATTTTGACCTAAAGTAGTGCAGACTTTGCAATATCATTTTTTCTTAACTTTTGGGCAATGCTAGTGCAAGGAGAAAGGCCCAAACCAAGAGAATTACTCTTTCACGCTATGGTTCATTTGTATGCCTACTAGAGTTTAGAGCTAAAATAAGCTTTATCCTTTTAAAGTAACTGGAGACCTACTAGAAAAATAGTGTTGAGGAAAAGTCAAGCATAACTGGCAAGATCTAAATCTGTGCTGAGTGGAATGTTTATAAAATATCAGGGCAAGAGTATGAGCTTGTAAATAATCCTAATGTCCTATGCCTTTGGGGAAAACATCATACACAAAGTATTGTTAATTTCTTTATTTTTTCCTACATCATATGATTTTTTTTAATTGGATTGAGTGGGTTTTATAGTGCTGCTTGTTAATAAAAAGATCTGGCTAACATTGTCTTTCTGATTTAAGTAAACAGTATTTATTTTTTATACCAACTTTATGAGACTTCTGTGAGCTTTGGTGTTGCTGATAGAGAGGATGTATGGCCATTTAAAATCAGATTGTAGAGATCATGTGACAAAGTAATTTTTCTATCAACACAAGCTCAGGGAAGTTTATTTTGTTCTGCAAAAAATCAGGCATAGCTTGCAAAGCAAGGCAAAAGTCCAATGAATGAAGATGGGATCAATTCCAGACTTTAATTTGTATGGGACAAAGAAATGAACATGAGCAAAGACAGATCTCAGAGTCCTCTCATTTAAAACAAGCATCATTGGTAGAGTAACACAGTAATTACAGGCTAATTGCCACTGCGATTGGACAATACCACAATGCAATGATGTTCCTGAATTCTTGTTCCTAGTTCCTTGTTAAATTGCTAAGAATCTCCATGATCTTTCATGGAGTCTCACACTTTACCTTATCTATTTTTGTGCTATCCAAAGGTATTTGATTATCAGTGCTATTTATATTTAATCAAAGAATTTTGATAAGTGTGTGTACTTATCACTATATAAAATTTATCCTAAGGTTTAAGTCCAAAGGCTCAGATCAGGTGACATGCTACATTTAAGAATATATGAAGATAAGCAGTACAACTACTTTGGAAGGATAGCCCTGACAATCCTCTTTTTTTAGTAAATTTTTATTTTATTATGTTCATGCTTAGCATCTATTGTCTCCATTTTTAAAGACAGAGAAAGGGCATATAGGAAGAAATTTGCTGAAAATTAGGTAAAGTTTAAGTCAGTCTGAAAGTGAGAATCTCAGACTCTCTAGAGCCCCAAGTGCTGGTTCTGTGCCTTCACATCTTGAGATGGTTTAGTAACTTCACTGGGATATCCAGAAGAGGATTTTCTGTAATAAGTTTCCGTAACAAGTTTAATCAGATTGACATTGTTTGGATCTAATATACACCCACAGATGCATTAACAAAAAAAAAAAAAAAAAAAAAAAAAAAAAAAAAAAAAAAAAAAAAAAAGAGGAAGCCATGCACTTGATTAAAGAAAACTGACATATGGTGCCTGTGTGACCCTTCTGCTCCCTCTCACAAGCAGACCTCCTCCAACCCCAAAGTTCTGTGGCAGAACTGGGTTTTATTTAAATCTCATTCTGGGGCACAGACTCTCCTCCTCATCCCAGAAAAATACCAATGGTTTATCTACTATTGTGTAAGGATTAGGGATGCTTTACTCCTGTTGTTAACACTGTGTCCACTTCGCAGTGAAGCATCAGTCTTCCGTGTAAACAAATGAAGGAATAACACTTTGGTGAAGGCGTTTACTTCTTCATTGATCCAAAGTCAATGGATAAAAATACAAAAACAATCTAAGAGTCAATGACAACAATCAGTGACTTTAACTATTCTCCTCGTTCACTGTGTTTGTGGGTGAAGTTGGGAAGGCAATTTCTAGGATAGCACTTCCAGATATAAATCCCAGAAAGAGGCATCTCTCTTTAAACACTTATGTCTTGCTTCGGCTCCTGTGGCTCCTCATGCATTTTACACTCAATATTTACAAGATATACTTGCCTCTCATCAATAACCCTAAAAGAGACAGAACAGCTGCTTCTCACCTTCCCTTCAGTAGAGAAATCTATCTCAATAGATACCATGTCATATTCTTGGTTAGCCCTGTGGCTCATATTTTCAAGTTTGTAGAGCTTCAGTGAGGCAGGCGAGTGATGCTCCTTCCCCTCACTCTTCCTTCAGTAGCTTAGAGCTTGGTCCTGGGATGTAAGGATTATGGCTTCATATTTCTCCATTAGACACTCAGATACTATCTTCTTCTTCCTTCTCCTCCTCTTTTGTTTTCAGTATTTTCTTGTGCATGTTGCTGCAATTGTGAACTTAGATCAGATGTGACCAGGTCCCCAGTGTTTCCTTGCTGGGAAAGGGGTACTCCATTACATGGCTTTGGGCATTACAGCACAGAGCACTATCAATACTCTGTTTCTTGCTGGAGCTGGGCTCAGGCTCCTAGCTCATGGCTGTGGTTTTAACTAGTTGAAGGCTCCTTAAGACCTCCTTAAGAAAAGAGATATTTAGCATTGCTAATCATGGAGACTTCTGTGGCTTGAACTCTAAGTTATTCTCCATTCATCACTCAAAGACAGCTTTGGCAGAATTGGGTTCCTGGCTTGTGCTGTAACTAGTGGAATTAAAAATTCTGAAACTGCTGAAATCCTCTTCAGAGTCCAGGGATTAATAATGTGGCTGCTGTTAACTGGGAGTTCTGTTTCTGTTCACAGTAAAGAGACCAGCTACTCAAATACTCAATTATTCTGACAATATATTCCAGATCTCTGGGCACATCTCCTTATTCTCTTTTCTGTCTCTGACTCCCTCCACTTTGTTTCATTTTCCAGTGCAGATTCCTTGTGCTCACTTCTACTCTGAGGCAAGGATAATGTGCTATTACGGATACATCGAAAAACCCTGAATGTCCTCATTTTACACCTGAAACAACAAAGAGATTGACTCAAAACACTAGACATTTCTAAATTTTCTGAGTGCACTTCATACGGGGCAAACCTCATGTGGAAAAAGATCTGGATCTTTTTCGTTTTGGTGACACTGATTATATTCTCTTGCTGTTGCAGGCTTTATTTAAAGGGTCACAGTGGGACAGCTGGAAAACAGAGTAGCCTGGTCTTACATGGTGCTGAATTCAGTACGAAAGATGCCGACAATGACAACTGCATGTGTAAATGTGCTCTCATGCTGACTGGAGGTGAGTACAACTCTGAAAATATGAAGTATGTTGGTAGGAATTTACTGTTTTCCTAAAGCAACCATGGATGAAGATGCATTCATGAACAATCAATGTGTGAAAATTCCTTTTATTGTTGTTACACCTACTCTTTTGTGTATATATATATTGTGGTGGTGGTGGTGATACCTCAAAATTCCTGTCAGCAGGGAAGGAATTATTCAGAGACGCAATCATTATACTTCTGCACAGAAGCTGTTGTGGCAATGTCAAGGAAGAAAGCATAAGGTGCTGTTAAGGCAAGAAAGGCAAAGTAAGAGAGAAGAAGCTAAGAGATGAAGAAAGGGTGTTCTGCCAATGACCAGGCCCAACAAAAATGATAGCACCAGCAGAAAGATGAACAAATATGCAGACTGTATTGTAGACACAAATGTTACAGTATGAATAACCACCGGGGTTACAAACAGGTCAACAAGCTCATACATGATCGACGCCACCCCCAACGATCCCAAAAAAGATGTAACTTGGCCCACAACAGGTGGCACAAACAGTGAACCAAGGTTTCCCATAGTTGGCATGGGAAACAGACAGACCAGCAGGCTAAGCACATAAGAAGAAGGTGCCCACATGGCGACTCTCACCCGATCAGCCCGTGTTCACAAAGGTCTAAACAGACTGGGGCCCAGCTCCAGGGAGAGTCAGGTGGTCTGCCCTGAACCAGGAAGCTCTGTGGAGTGCACTCCACAGACAGAGACTCCTGACTCCCTGCAAGTGGTCCCAGCTTTTATCCCCAAGCAGACACCTGACCTTTGTCAACTCACTGCGGGACCCCTGGGGCTCATTTCCCTTATGGCTCTCCCCGCAGGGGCGTCTG